AGGAAATGGCATATTAGCTTCTTTTGTAGCATGGGGAATGGGAAGGAGATTGTTTTGCTTGGGTCTAAGGATAGTACTGCCTGTCAGGTTGACATATCCCAATTACCAGTTGGAAAGTTGGTTCCTACTTCACAATGGGGATAGGAATATTATGTCCAGAACTCAGGGATTACTGGGTTGTGTCTTAATACTCTTTTGCCCAATAGTTCTGAGTGAAATAAAGCATTCCATCAAACAAAGGATCATCTGAAGATTGTATCCTATAGGAATAATTTTAGGGATAAAATAACTTGCTCACTCCACAGGAAGTGTACCCTGCTGATGAAATAAGATGAACTGATGAAAATTCGTTATCACTAGGCCTCATGAACTATAGTCAGCTACAGAAATGGGAATTTTGACAGTTATGTTTTGTGTTAATTAACCTTTTCTTTCTCTATTTCCCAGTAGTTAATTCACATGAAAGACATTGGTAGAGCTAGCATTTGAGTTTAGAGTACTCTGCAAAGATGTAACTATTTTTTCTATGATACAAAATTTCTTCTATCTTGATAATATTTGTCCTTCCTGATTATCCCTATATACAAGAGTAGACACAGAGAGTAAAGAATAGTTTCCATTCGTCCTCCAATGTTGTTCACTCTCAACTCTTCTCCACCTAACTTTGTGTATTTATTAAGTCTTCTCCAGGTAACTATTTTGAGTGTGCCATCTCTTATCTTGGAAGGATCTTGATTGATACAAGTATACAAAATTAAACTTGAAATTCCTTGTTTCCTTGCTTAACAATTTCAGTGCCCTGAATACTTATGAAGAAGTTGCTACCCAATACAATATACAGCACTAGGATACTCTATATGCCTTTGCTGCCACGTTTCACTGAGCAACATGTTGTGGTTGTCTTTAACTAGAGAGGTTTTGAACTTGCTTTTCAGTGGCTTCAGAGAATTTCACTGTATGGATGTAGCATAACTTCTTTAATTTATCGTTAGGCCGGGCGTGGTGGCTCATGCCTGTAATCCTAGCACTTTGGGAGGCCAAGGCGGGCGGATTGCTCGGGATCAGGAGTTTGAAACCAGCCTGAGCACGAGCAAGACCCCGTTTCTACTATAAATAGAAAGAAATTAATTGACCAACTAATATATATATATAGAAAAAAATTAGCTGGGCATGGTGACACATGCCTGTAGCCCAGCTACTCAGCTGAGGCAGGAGGATTTCTTGAGCCCAGGAGTTTGAGGTTGCTGTGAGCTAGGCTGACGCCATGGCACTCACTCTAGCCTGGGCAACAAAGCGAGACTCTGTCTCAAAAAAAACCCCACAAAATTTATCATCAATTGAGAGATGTTTTAGTTGTTTCATTTACTATTAAGCTCTAAACACTGGAAAGAACTTCTGTACAGCTAAATCTCGGTACACATTCATAATTATTCAATAAGTGATTATATAAAAATGAAGTGTTATATATATTCTTCTGCTATTTACTCTATAAAAATGTATTTAGCACATTGACTTCTATGACACGATCAAGTGATTATAGTTAATTTTTTGAGTTAACATTTATTTTAAGTGATTAATTATCATGGGTAATTATCAATAGTTGTAACAAAATAGCACAAAGATATTAGACAAAAAAATTCCACTTTTGATTTCGTCTCTCTAGTGTCTTATTATGAATTTTTATATCCTTGGGTTGCATTGGATAAAGCGAATAGTTCTCTAGGGGCAAAGTACCTGATCCATGAGCTCCTTCTAAACTATCATGTTTTTGCAGTATCACTTGGTCACTGTCCTCTTGAGGTCTATGTAATTAGCTTTATGTCTTCCAATGGCAGGATATTATATGGCACTTTGTGTTAGAGAACAAGGGAAAATCTCGGAGTCCCTGAAGATGCTGGTCTCCTTATACAGGTAATGGATGGATGGAAATACATTTAACACTGGGAAGAGTGGCTTTAGTGTTAGACATGGTTTTCTTGTTGGAATTGCTAGGGACATGAGTCTTATCCCAATGTGTATGCGTTACATCCTAAAATGAAGTAGATAGTACCCAGAATAAGGAATTGAATAGCATAGGAGAATAATTATGAAGAAGTTTATGAACATATTGGGAAAGGTTAACTGAACTTGACTTTGAGCTAGAATTGTATTGTGCCCAGTGAAATGTGAAATGCATTAGGAAAAGTCAAATGGCTTTGTGATGTTTTTGATTCAGTATACGTGGCAATTATTCACTATGTTGTTATTGATGATTACATGAATGATTCTCATCTTCTACCAACTGATAAAAAGTCAAGAAAATTGATGACGTATGAAAGCATAAAATAAAGGTTATATTTTTATCTCAGTTTTCTTTTTAAAAGAGATGGGTATAAACTGATGATGTTCTGTAACAGGGAAGCAAATTTATCATGAAGTTGTCAAGTTTGCAAGGTAGAAAACAGTTTTATAGACACCTGAATAGAAATAAAAGACATGGATACCAAAATACCTAAGGCTGAATAAATAACTCCAATGTAATGTCATTTAAAAATGCTATGTGAAAAGTTTAAAAACAAAATAGTACATAAAACTACCAGAGGTTAGATTGAGTTTTTCTGTTTCTTATGTGGTTCAGAATTAGAGCATTTGTATTAATTTTATATGTAAATTACAAGTAGAATGAAGAAGGATTAGGCGTGACCACAAAAATAATTTTGTGGATGGGGATAAGTGAGAATAAAATTCTAACAATAAATATAAAAGGTATTGAGTTTGTTGAGTCTTGTGAACAGAAAGCTAAGGAGTGACTTAGTTTATGGCATTTATATATATAAAATTATTTGGTCAAATAGGTGAATATAAAACTATAATTATTTTGTACCTATAATTTATCCAGTGAAGTCAGTATTATTAATTGCAATTCGATAGTCAAATAAACTGAGGTTCAAGAGTTTAACTTATCCAATTTCAACTTGTCAGTGGCTGAAGTGTGATATAAATCTTGGTGTTCTGAATCCAAACCCACCTTCTTTCTACTATACCATATTATTTCTCTAAATAAACCTAAATTACAATATAATGTGATAAATCCTTACACAGAGGCTTGAATAAAATGTTTTCCACTACATTATGATGTTCTTCATACATTTAAGCTTTTCAGATCATATGGTAAGTATTCAACAGCAGTTCTTTTCAAAAATCTTCTCAAATTATGTTTGTTTTTTTCCCTTAATGCTTTTCAGACTGACACTGTAGTAGAACACAAAATCAGACACTTGGGTTTTGCTGCAATGTCAAATTATTAGAGAAGTTTCTTAATATTCACTCTCAAGTTTAGTACTTAATATAAACTGGTAAAAGACAACTGTATCTCTCTGTGGACCACTGTTTCATAGCTTCAAAGAATCCAAATGTGAAAAAAGCACCATCCATGCCTTTCAGATGCTTACAGGCTGTTTGGTGAGTTAGACTTGTACCTAGTTCACTGCAATATAAGGAATAGTAAAATAAATGCTAGTAATGTATAAAGCTAGATGTCACAGATACAGTAAACATGTAATAAATCTTGAATATTGATGTTTTTGTGAGGTAGTGTGTGGGAAGGAGGAGCTTATTTGTGTGAATAAGACTGGTAGTCTTGGAGTGGATGTAATATTAAGTAGTTGAAAAACATGAATCATATTGTGTGACTGGAGCCAGGCTATATTAGTATTGAAGCAAAAATTAAAAGAATTTGGAGTTTTATTTCTGTTACCAATATTGAATAATGTTGTATCTTATGAGGAACATCACAGCAACTACTCTGGGAGAAAGCAGAAGGGGCTTAAAACAGAGACAACTTGGTAGAAGAGAACACCTCCACATGACAGTCACCACTGTCTCTGTGTGAGGACAATTATAAAATCTATGAGCATATTAGGTTGTCCTCTCCTACCCCTAACCCCACCAGCTTTAATAAGATGTGGTTGGTAAAAATTGTATATATATGGTGTATAATGTGATGCTTTGATATATGTATACATTATAAAATGCTTAATTCAAGCCAATCAACATATTCATCATTTCCCATACTTATCATTTCTTTGTGGTGAGAGCATTGAAGATCTATCCTCTTAGAATTTCCAAGAGTGCAATACATTGTTATTAACTGTAGTGACTATGCTTCACAATAGACCTCTATGTGTTCTCTGGTTTTACTGAAATGTTGTACCCTGTGAATCACATCTTCCCATTCCACATGCCCTCACCAGCCCTTGTTAACCATTATTGTGATCTCTAGTTCTATAAGTTTGATTTTTTTACATTCCACATATAAATGAGATCTTACAGAATTTGCCTTTCCATGTCTGTCTTATTTCACCCAGCACAATTTGTTCCAGCTTCATTCATGTTGTTGCAAATGACAGGATTTCCTTCTTTCTTATGGCCAAAGAATATTCCATTGTATATGTGTATACACCTCCCCTCTCAACCCGTTTTCTCCATCCATTCACCTGTCAGTGTACACTGAAGTTGTTTCCACATCTTGGCTCTTGTGAATAATGCTGCAATGAACATTGGAGTGCAGATACCTTGTTAAGACATTGATTTCAATTCCTTTCTAAATATACCCTGAGTGGGATTTCTGGATCACACGGTAGTTTTATTTTAACTTCTTGAGGAACCTGCACACTGTGTTTCATAATGGCTGTATGAATTTACACTTTCACCAATTTACACTTTTACCAATAGGGTTCCCTTATTCCACAGTCTTGCCAACGCTTGTTACTTTTTGTCTTTTTGATAATGGTATTCCCACAGGTATGAGATGATATCTCATCATTTACATTTGCATATCCCTGATGATTACTGATGCTGAAAAATTTTCATATAAGTGTTGCCCATTTGGTTGGTTTTAATGCCGAAGTGGAAATATGCTTTCATGACTGACTTCTCTCCTTTTGGTTTATGAATAAAATTATCATAATTTATATTTTCTCCTATTTTTCCTCCTTCAGGTAGCAATGCTTACACAGTCAATGGATGGAGCAAATCATTCTGTGGTGTCGGAGTTTGTGTTCCTGGGACTCACCAATTCCTGGGAGATCCAACTTCTCCTCGTTGTGTTGTTCTCTGTGTTTTATGTGGCAAGCATGACCGGAAATTCTCTCATTATGCTCACGGTGACCACTGACCCTCACTTACACTCTCCCATGTATTTTCTATTGGCCAACCTCTCTTTCATTGACTTGGGTATTTCTTCTGTCACTTCTCCCAAGATGATTTATGACCTTTTCAGAAAGCGCAAAGTCATCTCCTTTGGAGGCTGCATTGCTCAGATCTTCTTCATCCATGTCATTGGTGGTGTGGAGATGGTGCTGCTCATAGCCATGGCCTTTGACAGGTATGTGGCCATATGTAAGCCTCTCCACTACCTGACCATCATGAGCCCACGAATGTGCATCTTCTTTTTAGTGGCTGCCTGGATGACAGGCCTTATACACTCTGTGGTTCAGTTGGCTTTTGTAGTCAACTTACCCTTCTGTGGTCCTAATGTGTTGGACAGCTTTTACTGTGACCTTCCTTGGTTTATCAAACTTGCCTGTACGGATACCTACCAACTAGAGTTCATGGTCATAGCCAACAGTGGATTCATGTCTGTGCTCTGCTTCTTCATACTGATCATTTCCTATATCTTCATCATTCTCACTGTTCAGAAACACTCTTCAGCTGGTTCATCGAAGGCTCTGTCTACACTTTCAGCTCACATCACTGTGGTAGTATTGTTCTTTGGTCCTTTGATATTCTTCTATACATGGCCATCTCCATCCACACACCTGGATAAGTTTCTGGCCATCTTTGATGCAATTCTTACTCCTTTTCTGAATCCTGTCATCTACACACTCAGGAATCAAGAAATGAAGGTGGCAATTTGGGAAGTGTGCAGGCAGCTAGTGAATTACAGGAAGATCTCTTAATGATTGCCCATATTGTGAGTGTCCTCATTGACTATTTAAGAACATTGCTGATGGTCAAACTCAGAGAGAACCTTCTCTTTGTCCTAACTGGATTGATTATCAATACTTATATTGGGTTTTTTGGTTTTTACTTAGCAGTGAAAGACATCAACTTAACAAAAGAGAGAAGGAATTATAGAGAAAATATTTATAAAACAAAAATTATAATAATTTTGTGATATAAATCCTAAGGAATGATATTTATTTATAATAATTCATAGAAATACAAGGGAGCAAAGTCCTTTAAGGCCCTGAGAAGAGGGAAATGTCTAATATGAATCTGTCTCATACAGGAATTCATGGCAGTATTCAATGGTGCATTAATAAAGGAAGATTCAAGTGGGTCCTCTTACTGTAGTTAATAGCTTGCCCACATCTACCCCTCTTTTCTATCTCTGTGAGGGCTGTGCAAGGAGAATAACATCTTTGAGAGCACACATACAGGAGTCTAATGCATGCTTTTGTGTAGAAATTGTGTGAGCTATTTTTGGAATACCAATAGAGAACTGAGAAATTGTCATGATTGTTCTCCATGATCAACATTATGCTACTAAAACGCCTTCCATTTTTTTTTTTTTTTTGACACAGAGTCTCACCTGTTGTCTGGCCTAGCTGTGGTGTCAGCCTAGTTCACAGCAACCTCAAACTCTTGGGCTCCCAAGATCATCCCACCTCAGCCTCTCGAGTAGCTGAGACTACAGGTGCACACCACTATGGCTGGCTAATTTTTTTTTTTCTACATTTCGTTGAGATGGAGGTGTCGATGATGCTCAGGATGGTGCGAACTCCAGAGCTCAAGCAATAATCCTGCCTTGGCTTCCCAGACTGCTAGGATTACAGATGTGAGCAAGTGTACCATCAAGCAGTTGGGGAATTTTAGCTTCCCATCTTGCAACTCCAGGAACTTTGTGTTTAGAAGTCCTGGTTTTCATAACAAGGGGAAACATTTGTAGCAGAGACACAAGAGTTCCATTTTGGTCTATGACTGTTGCCCAGGAAATTCAATATTCTTGTGCCAATAACAAACAGTGAAGAAGAAAAATCACCATCCTGGCAGGGGTAATTTATTGGTCATTAGGAAGAAGTAAAGCTGTTGTTAGGTAATGGAAGTAGGGAGGAAACAGTTTTCCACCAGCTGATCCACATGAGTGACTATTAATATTCCTGTAGCCAGTTTTGGTGGTAGATGGACAAGTGCAGCACCTGTGGCCTGAGAAGTTCATAGTAAGCAGTGGCTTTGAGTGGCTTTGGGTGGCTGAGGCCTTGTTGTAACTGTACTCTTGTCCAGTTTCTTCCTCTGCCACATCTAGCTCAATCCGTACCTTCAAACAGAATTGATCCTGAGAGCACTCCCTGACAAACTTCCTGTGTGTTGAATGAGCATCTAGGTCAACTTATGAGCCCGGTAGGACAGCTGATTTGCCAACTGAAGAATCTAGACCAGGGGTCCTCAAACTTTTAAAACAGGGGGCCAGTTCACTGTCCCTCAGATCGTTGGAGAGTGCGCACTGTAGGCCTGGGACGAGTCGGTTGCTAAGCAAGACAGGCAGTGGCGGGAAAAACACCTGGCAGGCCAGATAATTATCCTAGGCAGGCGGCATGTGGCCCGCAGGCGGTATTTTGAGGACACCTAATCTAGACTATATAGGAGAGGAGGGATATGAATACCAGGTGTGGTTTCACAACTCACTTCAGGAACAGGTTTTGTAATTCATCCCATTAGCTTTCCTCTAATAAGATGTGTTCAGGGTAAGAGGCAGACCTAAGGCCTGGAAGAGCTATTCCCAGAACTCAAGTGAATCATGAAGATGCAAGTGGTTCCATGGTGGATGTCATGTATGCTCTGGTCTGTCACCCAGGTCCCCACTTCATCACAGAAAGATTTATTCCCCCAGCTGGTAGAAGGTCTGTTGCCTGACATGTCTCATCATTCTGCCCTCCTTGGAATGGACTTGGCTATGAGAGTTGATTTAACCAAGATCTTGTTCCCTTTTGTGGCAGTTTCCTCCAACAGCCCACTGGAGACAATTCTGAAAGGTCATCCTAGGTTCAAAACTCCCTGCAAGAGTAGCTGAGGCCTTGTTGCAACTGTACTCTTGTCCAATTTCTTCCTCTGCCACATCTAGCTTAATCCATACCTTCAAACAGAATTGATCCTGAGAGCACTCCCCGAAAAAACTTCCTGTGTGTTGATCTCAGAGTCTGCTTGGGAACTCAATCTTTGATGCAAAGGTTTTCCTGATCTCTGTCATATTACTGCCAGAGAAGGATATCAAGAATGTTTGTATTCTATGGAATATTACACTGGTTCAGTACTTTCATATCATGCTAATTAGATTTGATGAGCTACACAGAAGTAATAATTACTGTAGATGCCTTAGTAAGAAGCACATGTGCCAGATGAAGGAAGATGAATCCTGCAGAAGTTCAGGAACCTCACACATGAGTGACTTTTACTCTAAGTGGCGTGGTGGCACGCCAAGGTACTTCTTCCAAAGTTGCTGCACCTTGCAACACCTGCCACAGAGAAAGAGGTGAATTTCTTTGGATTTTGGAGTCAACATATTCTGTAATGAGTATGCTGTTCCAACTCATTTATTGTGGAATCATAGGCTGCCAGTTTCTAATTCAGTCTGGAGCAATAAAAGTCTCTGTACATAGTCTTCAAGGCAATAGTAGACTCCTCCTACTCCATAGCATTACTGAAAATTCTCTATGACCAATTAAGAGTGAGGACAAAACATGAGCTGCTTTACGAATAGATAGGCATATTATGCTGGCATCAGCTGTAGGTGAATAAGTACTGTACTAAACCCTACTAAGCGACTGTCCTGAAGGATAGTGGCTAATGACAACTCTTCTAAGGGGAAGAACTTTAGGGAATGCATTTAGTTATAGACTGTCTTTGGAAGGAGAGATGGCCTGAGATACAGATCTTACTAATTCTCGGGCAGGGCTAATGGTTTGTTTGGTTGTTCAAGGCCTAAGAAGGAAGAAGATTGTAAAATTATTGGCATGGACTTCTGGGGACAGATATGTATTTAAAGTTCAAATAAAGGCACAGAAAACGAAGACCTTTATGCTCATATAAAGCCTATGAGAGGTTGATTAGTGTCCAAGAGCAGATGACCTGCCCCTCTAGATGGAAGTCAGTCCTTTTCCCCAGCTATCCTAGGACTGCTTAATTGGCACTAAACTGGTCATTATAACGTAGATTAAGTCTCTGCATAAAATCAACACCATGAATTTCCACTCAGTAAGGCTGATCTGGCTGTCATCACTGTGGAGCGCCCAAGTTGCTGACATAAAGGTGAAGGGTCAGCATCCACTATGGTACTTATCTTACCATAACTCTGAGACTAGCTGTAGCTGTCCATCTTTTGGAAGGTTGAACAGAGTTAAAAACTTCTTTTATTGAATTGAGAAAGTCTAATCTTCATATATATGCATATATAAAACTTTATAGAGATAAATATATATATAAATATATGTATATTGCCTGTAAATATATAGTATATATTAATATAATATGTTATAACACCCTTCCTCCCTCCCTTCATCCATCCCATCCTCTGGTTCTTTTCCTTCCTTCTTTCTTTCTTTCTTTCTTTCTTTCTTTCTTTCTTTCTTTCTTTCTTTCTTTCTTTCTTTCTTTCTTTCTTTCTTTCTTTCTTTTCTTCTTTCTCTTCTTCCTTTGTTTTTCTGGGTATTTATTTGTCTTTCTTGCACATAGTGCTGTTGCCAGCACCACCATTCGTGGATTTATAGAATAGCTTTGCTGCCATATCTATTGCTATTGTGTCATATTCAATATTTCCTCTGGACATATTTTTATATGAAGTAAAGTGTGACAATGGGCTTATACCTATGGACTTCACTGGACTTACTTGTGCTCTAACACCCAGAAACAAATGGCTTAATAGAGTAGTAGGATAGCCTATTGAATACTCTGCTTTTTTTCTATATTATTTATATTTCATATTTATGTACTAGTAAGTATAATTTCATTTTTATTTAATAAAGCAAATGAGGTCATTGACATTTTAGTGCAGCACAGCACTGACTCCTCTCACACATGGCTTATTTTATGGACCATGATCCTGATACCACACTCATTATGTGGACTTTCAGTCCATACTTATATTACTCCAGACATAAGAAAATCACTTTGATTCAGGGGCCTGATTCATATCTGCATAACTAATTGTTAGAAAGTTCTTCCTTCTATTGTTTATATGTATGCTTTTAAACATTTTTTATTTTCTTTTTCCTGTTTATTTAAGGTATAATTGACAAATAAAAATTATATTTAAGATGTACAATGAGATGTAGTAGGGTTAGAGGTTGTGGTGTCCTAAGGAAGAAAGCTTCTTGAGTGATCATATCTGGGACTGGTCTCTGACCACTTTGAGCTCCTTATGCCACTAAACCAACAGATAGAAAGGGGTCTGCCTCTGACATTTGTGTGGCTTGAGGCAAGAGCAAAAACAGAATTTCACAAGCCACATGCTGAAATATTTGAAAGTTTTAAATCAAGCTAACAAAATCCCAAGTAAAATAAGTTCTCTCTTAACATGTTGATCAATTTATCACTATATATATATTAATATGGCATCTATATACAGAAAATTTAGGAAGTCAGGTTTGTGGATTTGGGAATGTTTGGAATAAAATTACTGAGTTCTGAGGATCTGAATGTGATCTAGAAGTAGAGGCAAGGAGTCCAGGAGTCTCTTGGCTTCTTAAAATCTGCACACCATGGTGAAGGGCATGACCAGGAAATGGATGTTTTAGCTTCTTTTGTAGGATGGGGAACAAGGAAGGGAATTCTCTTGCTTGGGTGTAAGGACAGTATTGCTTGTCAGGTTGACACATTCCAAATAGTAGGTGGAAAGTTGGTTCTTACTCCATAGTTGGGGCAAGGAGTATTAAGTCCAGAAGTGTGGTAATACACTGGGGATGCTTCTTAGTACTTTTTGCCCGTAGTTCTCATCAATGGAAAACT